TGTGTGTGCAGTGCGCGAGATGAACCCGAGTGTGGCGGCGATCTCTGCGTTGGCGGTTCTCAGTGTTCTGCTCATCAGTCTGCTGGTGTTCTTTCTGCTGGTGCTGCGCAAGAAACACATGGAGCTGAGCCGGTGAGCAACATCACTCAGCTCATTCACATTCATGCTTTAACAGAAAATCAGCCGCTCATCATGTGACTCTATACAACTCAGTCAGAGCTTTCGAATTTTTTTGTTGCAAAAAGTAATTTTGACCTTTGAGATGCAAAGTGACTTGGAACATTGTTTTACGGAAAATGCATCAAAAGCTAAAAACAAAAACAGATAATGGCCTCAGAAGAATCAACTTAATTAAAAGGGAAAACAAGATGATTTTTTTGACTCTTTCAGATATTTGTTCCCGTTTTAAGCAAAAACTCACTTCATTTTGATGCATTTTTATTAAAACAAGACTAATATCTTGCTTCTCAAGTAAATGTGTCTTGATTTAAGAAGTCGTTTACGCTGTCAGAACACACTTCAGAACGTCTTAGTCTGTGTTTCGCAGAAGAAAAGCGTTCGACGTAAGGGTGAGCAGTGATGGGGAAAGTTATTTTTAAAAGTAATCCATTACAATATTGTGTAACTAAGTAACTAATTGCGTTACATAGTTACTTTTTATCGAAAGTAATGCATTACGTTAGTTTTTGTCACCTGAGCTGGGCTTGTTTATTTCTTTTTTTAATTACAAAAAACCCATATGTTATATTTTTGGCAACTGTAAGGACCCTTTAACAGCTCAAATTAAATTAATAAACTTGCAGTAACTTGCATTACTTATTTGAAAGAGTATCTCAGATATTTCGTTTTAAATTTAAAAGTAATTTGTTACTTTACTAGTTACTTTTAAAAAAGTAATCTGATTACTTAACTCACGTTACTTTGATGCGTCAAAAATGATGACAGCCTTCTTATTTTGAGTTTCCGTTACTGGCAGGAGTAATATCTGTGATATTTATTTATTACTTTATTTAATACTGTAAAACGAGACATTTTTGCAGTGTCAGAATCAATGTTTCAGAATCTGAAAGTGCACTGGATTAGTGCGGATTGATGAAATTAGTGCTACATTTAAGTGATTTTTGAGCTGTTAACTGTCTTCATCATTTGTCTGATTTCAGGGAGTGCGGTGCTGAAACCTTCGTGAATTTCACCTCTTTCGAGCGAGACGGGAAGCTGCCGTATAACTGGTAGGAGCTCCTGCGTTTCTCGCTGTCAATCAATCACACACACACACACTCACACACACCCTCACACACACCCTCACACACACCCTCACACAC